AGGCATAGGTCCCAGGAATGAATCAGGAGATAGTGGGCTCTGGAGTAGACATATGCAGCCTGGGATGTTCTGAGATTACCTTGGATAGATCTTTGCTAGACCCAACATGTGCTAAGGCTTAGCTTCCTTATTGTCATGGGATGGGGATTCAAATGCACACAGAAAGTGAGGATGTTATAGAGCTTCACTTCCATCATGTCTAGAGAACTCGAAATTTGGTAAGAATATAGAATGTTGCACCTAAATTAGTTTTGTGTTGTGGCAATGTTCTGTGATTCCTGCTCTGCTCTCTCCTAGGATATCTGTCAAAGCCTTCCATCTCAGCTGAGCCAGGCCTTGAGATCTCCCAAGGGGGTTGTGTAAACTTTGTGTGCTCAACCCCTAGTGGGTATGATACATTCCGCCTGGAGAAGGAAGGCAAGAGTGTCATGGAGGAGAAGAACATACAGCATCTAATGACAGAGGCTATATTCCGCCTTGGCCCAGTGAATGAAAGCACTGCTGGAGGCTATTACTGTATCTATTTAAAAGGAAACGATTGGTCCCCACGCAGTGAGACTCTGGAGCTGAAGGTAACCAGAGAAGATGTCACCCTGGCTCCTGACCCAGGCTCAACAGTGACTCCAGGTTTGTTCTCAGGTCCCTGGATTCTAACCATAGCTGCTCTCCTCTGCCTCAACTTCCCCTGCTTTTTCTTAAACCTAAGACTCTTTTCTCTTAGCTCCTTCAACACAGGTCTCCTTTGCCCATACACCCCAGATTCCCAGAAATGTAGTCTTAGCAGACACCAAGAATTATCTGGATACAACTCCAGACTGGAGAGTTGGGTCCAAATCTGTCTCTGATTATGAAGTAGAGACTGATACCCAGCAATGGTGAAGACAGACTCATTTCAAGGTTGTCTTTTCACTGGTCATGGTGAGTTATCCTTTCCTTCCACTGAGTTTAACCTGTGGTGACTGTAGGAATATATCTCGTCTGGCATGGTCCCATGTCACTAGGCAGGCCATATGGTCCAGGCAGGGCTAGTGTGCAGCCCTGGACTATTATTTTAGGTGTTCTGTCATATGGAATGGTCTCTGTTTGGTCAGGCTCCAGAATTTCCTGGAGTCAAAGTCCAGGAAGAATTTCCAGTCCATTTCCATGTTCTCCCAGGTCTTTCATAGAGATGGTCAGTGCTGATTCTGTGATGACAAACAGAGTGAAAGAGTGAGAAATATGAGGCCGGACCAAACCACAAGAGCAGGCATTTAAAAGTGAATCTGTCAGGTTTCCTCTTTTCTCTGTCCTGTCAATTCAGGTCTCTCTCATGGTCTGGGATTGAATGTTGGAAAAATCATCATTTTTGAATAAATACTGAGGATGGAGAAGAAGTCTACACAGCTCTTCTCATAGGGTCTGAATCCTTCCCCCTGCCTCTTTGCTGGTGTAGTAGTTTATTAGGTCTTATATGTTGCGTTAATGTCCCAGCCAGCCTTCTGCTTAGCTTTGGAGCCAGCATCAGGATACCATTTATACGATTTTGTTTTTGTTGCTGTTGTTTTG